GACTGCATGTCACCTGTACACCACCAGTCACTACACGAGGGTCATTATGACTGCATGTCACCTGTGCACTACCAGTCACTACACGAGGGTCATTATGACTGCATGTCACCTGTGCACCACCAGTCACTACACGAGGGTCATTATGACTACATGTCACCTGTGCACCACCAGTCACTACACGAGGGTCATTATGACTGCATGTCACCTGTACACCACCAGTCACTACACGAGGGTCATTATGACTGCATGTCACCTGTACACCACCAGTCACTACACGAGGGTCATTATGACTACATGTCACCTGTGCACCTCAGTCACTACACGAGGGTCATTATGACTGCATGTCACCTGTGCACCACCAGTCACTAACGAGGGTCATTATGACTGCATGTCACCTGTGCACCACACCAGTCACTACACGAGGGTCATATGACTGCATGTCACCTGTGCACCACCAGTCACTACACGAGGGTCATTATGACTACATGTCACCTGTGCACCACCAGTCACTACACGAGGGTCATTATGACTGCATGTCACCTGTACACCACCAGTCACTACACGAGGGTCATTATGACTGCATGTCACCTGTACACCACCAGTCACTACACGAGGGTCATTATGACTACATGTCACCTGTGCACCACCAGTCACTACACGAGGGTCATTATGACTGCATGTCACCTGTGCACCACCAGTCACTACACGAGGGTCATTATGACTGCATGTCACCTGTGCCACACCAGTCACTACACGAGGGTCATTATGACTGCATGTCACCTGTGCACCACCAGTCACATACACGAGGGTCATTATGACTGCATGTCACCTGTACACCACCAGTCACTACACGAGGGTCATTATGACTGCATGTCACCTGTACACCAACAGTCACTACACGAGGGTCATTATGACTGCATGTCACCTGTACACCACCAGTCACTACACGAGGGTCATTATGACTGCATGTCACCTGTACACCACCAGTCACTACACGAGGGTCATTATGACGCATGTCACCTGTACACCAACAGTCACTACACGAGGGTCATTATGACTGCATGTCACCTGTACACCACCAGTCACTACACGAGGGTCATTATGTCTGCATGTCACCTGTACACCACCAGTCACTACACGAGGGTCATTATGACTGCATGTCACCTGTACACCACCAGTCACTACACGAGGGTCATTATGACTGCACGTCACCTGTACACCAACAGTCACTACACGAGGGTCATTATGACTGCATGTCACCTGTGCACCACCAGTCACTACACGAGGGTCATTATGACTACATGTCACCTGTACACCACCAGTCACTACCGAGGGTCATTATGACTGCATGTCACCTGTGCACCACCAGTCATCACTACACGAGGGTCATTATGACTGCATGTCACCTGTACACCACCAGTCACTACACGAGGGTCATTATGACTACATGTCACCTGTGCACCACCAGTCACTACACGAGGGTCATTATGACTGCATGTCACTGTGCACCACCAGTCACTACACGAGGGTCATTATGACTGCATGTCACCTGTGCACCACCAGTCACTACACGAGGGTCATTATGACTGCATGTCACCTGTGCACCACCAGTCACTACACGAGGGTCATTATGACTGCATGTCACCTGTACACCACCAGTCACTACACGAGGGTCATTATGACTGCCATGTCACCTGTACACCACCAGTCACTACACGAGGGTCATTATGACTGCATGTCACCTGTACACCACCAGTCACTACACGAGGGTCATTATGACTGCATGTCATCTGTACACCACCAGTCACTACACGAGGGTCATTATGACTGCATGTCACCTGTGCACCACCAGTCACTACACGAGGGTCATTATGACTGCATGTCACCTGTACACCACCAGTCACTACACGAGGGTCATTATGACTGCATGTCACCTGTACACCACCAGTCAAGGATCCTGACACTGACATACACACCTTTCATTGTATATACACTGACATACACATCTTTGAGTGAGAGACAAATACTTCTCAATGTATATACTCCGAGACAAATATTCACTGACAAATGTTTCTCCCTTAGAGAAACATTTGTCAGTGTATATAAATTGATATACACACACACCACCTCAGTTTATATAGGAGACACACACTTCTCAGTGAATATACAGTAATATATATATATATATATACATGACTCAGTGTGTATACACTGAAAGAAACACACCTCTAAATGTATATTCAGTGAAATATACACACTTCTCAGTCTATATACATTGAGAAATATATACATCAGACTGTAGATTCAACACATACACGTCCAGTCTGTTAAAGATTGTTGTTTATTGACTGAATACAATTGAAGACGCAGTGTAGCTTTTATCCTCCGTCTGTTTATCGTTGCCCTGTGATCGATGAGGCTACTAGAGAAAGTATGCTCAGTAAAATATTGAATATAGCATCAAATGCAAAAGGGGATGGTGACTGAAGCCGTGTCCTCGAACTCACCAGCCAGGGGTTTAAACCCCACCCTTTACTTGTTAGCTCGCAATTGTCATTTTACGATTTCGTGAACTTGTGTGTCAGTGACCAGTGAGTATTAAAGAGGGAGGGAAAAGAAGTCTTGCGGAAGATATTTTAATTTAATTTGCATGTATAACAGCATAGTTGTGAGTCAATCTTGCGACCAGCAGACGGAGCATCGAGCCTTCACAGTTCTTTGTGTCTCAAATAACGTATAACAAATAAAACTACCTGGATGAACTTTAATAATTAAAACTGAAAGTTGACCTAATGCCACCAGGCCTTAATTGTAACACAAATTCCTGAGTGATAGCTGGGCAGGCGACCAGCGGCGCCGTGTGTCTTACTTCCTGACGTCCTTGTGGTCTGTGTGTCTTACTTCCTGACGTCCTTGTGGTCTGTGTGTCTTACTTCCTGACGTCCCTGTGGTCCGTGTGTCTCACTTCCTGACGTTCCTGTGGTCCGTGTGTCTTACTACCTGACGTCCCTGTGGTCCGTGTGTCTCACTTCCTGACGTCCCTGTGGTTCGTGTGTCTTACTTCCTGACGTCCCTGTGGTTCGTGTGTCTCACTTCCTGACGTCCTTGTGGTCCGTGTGTCTTACTTCCTGACGTCCCTGTGGTCCGTGTGTCTCACTTCCTGACGTCCCTGTGGTCCGTGTGACTCACTTCCTGACGTCCCTGTGGTCTGTGTGTCTCACTTCCTGACGTCCCTGTGGCCCGTGAATCTTACTTCCTGACGTCCCTGTGGTCCGTGTGTCTCACTTCTTGACGTCCTTGTGGTCCGTGAATCTTACTTCCTGACGTCCCTGTGGTCCGTGTGTCTCACTTCCTGACAGAAGCATCTTAACACCAGGAGAGCAGCATCCTGACAGAAGCATCTTAACACCAGGAGAGCAGCATCCTGACAGAAGCATCTTAACACCTGGAGAGCAGCATCCTGACAGAAGCATCTTAACACCAGGAGAGCAGCATCCTGACAGAAGCATCTTAACACCAGGAGAGCAGCATCCTGACAGAAACATCTTAACACCAGGAGAGCAGCATCCTGACAGAAGCATCTTAACACCAGGAGAGCAGCATCCTGACAGAAGCATCTTAACACCAGGAGAGTAGCATCCTGACAGAAGCATCTTAACACCAGGAGAGCAGCATCCTGACAGAAACATCTTAACACCAGGAGAGCAGCATCCTGACAGAAGCATCTTAACACCAGGAGAGTAGCATCCTGACAGAAGCATCTTAACACCAGGAGAGTAGCATCCTGACAGAAGCATCTTAACACCAGGAGAGCAGCAGCCTGACAGAAGCATCTTAACACCAGGAGAGCAGCATCCTGACAGAAGCATCTTAACACCAGGAGAGCAGCATCCTGACAGAAGCATCTTAACACCAGGAGAGCAGCATCCTGACAGAAGCATCTTAACACCAGGAGAGCAGCATCCATTAAACGCTATTCTGGACCAGCAGATATCTCACTATAATAAAACAGTAAAAAAAAAATTTAGAATGGTTGGAATCTTTCCCATAGCTGGAGAATGACTCATCTGATCGGCTTCAAACTTCCACTACTGGTGAAGTTTTCCTGAAAGCAAGTTTGGTACTCTTACTGGGTGACTTAGCTCCCACTTCTCCAGTTTACTGAATAAACATTAACATAAATTTACATTCAGTAACTGAATAACGTTTTTTTCTGATCTGTGTCCCGTGGCTAACTTGGTAATGCACTTACCTCACATGTTGAGTGTCCCTGGTTCGATCCCTGGCATGGATGGAAACGCAGAGTATGTTTCCTTACACCTGCTTTCCCTGTTCACCCAGCAGTAAGTAGGTACCTGGTTGTTAGCTGACTGGTGTGGGTCGCATCCTGGGGGTGGCAGTATACCTTAAATAGGGCTGAGTTTTGAAATAAGCTAAGGTTGGATAACAACTCTTGGCCTGTAAAATTGATTTGTGTACAAAAATATTAACTATGATACATTCTGTAAGAATGTATCATGACTGTATTTATGACTGACTCACGAAATTATGACGTCACGATTACAAACAAACCACGGTACGGGCGGGGCTTGAACCCGCGCTGGCCTGGAGTTTTACGACTCGCTTGCCGCGAGTTCGGTCCCCACCCGTGTTGTGGTTAGGATGATACCGCATAAGTATAGTTTATGCGGGTATAAATTTGAAATTTTAGCGAAATTAACAAAGAATCTGAAATCACTGGGATAAGATCAATTAATGGAGAATGCTGTTTCCGATCGGCTTGAAACTTTCAACAGTTGTGAGCATTTATTTCACAGTAAGTTTAGCGTGAGAGAGTCTCTCATCCCTAGACTTATCCCTCACTCCCACTATAACTCCCACCTCTCCCTCCTCACTTTCTCTCTTACTTTCTCTCCTCTTTTCCATATTCGCTTTCTCGTCCTCCCCCTTGCTTCTCTTACTCTCCCCACTGACACACTCTTCCTCCCTCATCTCCCCAGGTTCGTGGGTGTTAACCCAGGGGGCGGGGAGCAGTGGGTACTGAGGCTGCACCACGCAAAGCCCACGGACGCTGGCATGTACCTCTGTCAAGTGTCCGTTACTCCACCCATCTCCACGTCCGTCACTCTCCTTGTAACAGGTCAGTAGACGAGAGAGAGAGAGAGAGAGAGAGAGAGAGAGAGAGAGAGAGAGAGAGAGAGAGAGAGAGAGAGAGAGAGAGAGAGAGAGAGAGAGAGAGAGAGAGTGAGAGAGAGAGAGAGAGACTAACATTGTACACTTCTACACACAGAAGCGGCCGCCAGGGTGTCGCCAGGGAGGGAGATCTTCCTGAAGGAAGGCAGCCGTCTGGTGTTGGTGTGTGAGGTCCGTGGCTGCCCTTACCCTGCCCACCCCACCTGGTACCGTGGCAGCCAGGTTAGTACCACTACAAACAGAACTGTTCCATAAAGGACAGGTTAGTACCACTACAGACAGAACGGTTCCATGAATGACAGGTTAGTACCACTACAGACAGAACGGTTCCATGAATGACAGGTTAGTACCACTACAGACAGAACTGTTCCCTAAAGGACATGTTAGTACCAATACAGACAGAACGGTTCCATGAATGACAGGTTAGTACCACTACAGACAGAACTGTTCCATGGATAACATGTTAGTACCACTACAGACAGAACTGTTCCATGGATAACATGTTAGTACCACTACAGACAGAACGGTTCCATGAATGACAGGTTAGTACCACTACAGACAGAACGGTTCCATGAATGACAGGTTAGTACCACTACAGACAGAACTGTTCCATAAAGGACATGTTAGTACCACTACAGACAGAACTGTTCCATAAAGGACATGTTAGTACCACTACAGACAGAACTGTTCCATAAAGGACATGTTAGTACCACTACAGACAGAACTGTTCCATGGATAACATGTTAGTACCACTACAGACAGAACGGTTCCATGAATGACAGGTTAGTACCACTACAGACAGAACGGTTCCATGAATAACAGGTTAGTACCACTACAGACAGAACGGTTCCATGAATGACAGGTTAGTACCACTACAGACAGAACTGTTCCATGGATAACATGTTAGTACCACTACAGACAGAACTGTTCCATGGATAACATGTTAGTACCACTACAGACAGAACGGTTCCATGAATGACAGGTTAGTACCACTACAGACAGAACTGTTCCATAAAGGACATGTTAGTACCACTACAGACAGAACTGTTCCATAAAGGACATGTTAGTACCACTACAGACAGAACTGTTCCATAAAGGACATGTTAGTACCACTACAGACAGAACTGTTCCATGGATAACATGTTAGTACCACTACAGACAGAACTGTTCCATAAAGGACATGTTAGTACCACTACAGACAGAACTGTTCCATGGATAACATGTTAGTACCACTACAGACAGAACGGTTCCATAAAGGACATGTTAGTACCACAACAGACAGAACGGTTCCATGAATGACAGGTTAAAGCCACAGGAGATAAGTCTGTACTGCATCAGATAAATTAGTCCAGTGCCAGACATGACATCACTGAGGCAGACAGGTCAACACTGCAGCAGACAGGTTAATACTGCAGTAGACGGCAGACACATCGTAGACAGGTCAGTGACGGCACTTTCTACAGCTGAGGTGTATTTTTATACTCCTGTCAAAATACTAATATACACAAGTGTCTAAATACAGATTTATTTCATTGATATCACTAACAGGAGTATTTATTATAGCAGTGCCAGTGGTCACTGACGACGGCTAATATAATACCCGAAAGATTTTCATAAAATTTTGAAGAGACAAACACTGAGACACCAAACTTTTGTGTGTGTGTGTGTGTGAGTGTGTGTGTGTGTGTGTGTGTGTGTGTGTGTGTGTGTGTGTGTGTGTGTGTGTGTGTGTGTGTGAGTGTGTGTGTGTGTGTGTGTGTGTGTGTGTGTGTGTGTGTGTGTGTGTGTGTGTGTGTGTGTGTGTGTGTGACGTGTGTGTGTGTGTGTGTGTATATGTGTGTGGGGTGTTTGCGTGTGTGTGCGTTGTGTGCGTGTGTGTGCGTGTGTGTGCGTGTGTGTGTGCGTGTGTGTGCGTGTACTCACCTAGTTGAGGTTGCGGGGGTCGAGTCCGAGCTCCTGGCCCCGCCTCTTCACTGATCGCTACTAGGTCACCTCCCTGAGCCGTGAGCTTTATCATACCCTGCTTAAAGCTATGTATGGATCCTGCCTCCACTACATCGCTTCCCAAACTATTCCACTTACTGACTACTCTGTGGCTGAAGAAATACTTCCTAACATCCCTGTGATTCATCTGTGTCTTCAGCTTCCAACTGTGTCCCCTTGTTACTGTTCCAATCTCTGGAACATCTGTCTTTGTCCACCTTGTCAATTCCTCTCAGTATTTTGTAAGTTGTTATCATGTCCCCCCTATCTCTCCTGTCCTCCAGTGTCGTCAGGTTGATTTCCCTTTAACCTCTCCTCGTAGGACATACCTCTTAGCTCTGGGACTAGTCTTGTTGCAAACCTTCGCACTTTCTCTAGTTTCTTTACTTGCTTGGCTGGGTGTGGGTTTCCAAACTGGTGCCGCATACTCAATATGGGCCTAACGTATACGGTGTACAGGGTCCTGAATGATTCCTTATTAAGATGTCGGAATGCTGTTCTGAGGTTCGCTAGGCCGCCATATGCTGCAGCAGTTATTTGGTGATGGGCGCTTCAGGGGATGTGCCTGGTGTTATACTCACCCCAAGATGTTTTTCCTTGAGTGAGGTTTTGTAGTCTCTGGCCCCTAGACTGTATTCCGTCTGGGGGTCTTCTTTGCCCTTCCCCAATCTTCATGACTTTGCACTTGGTGGGATTGAACTCCAGGAGCCAATTGCTGGACCAGGGCTGCAGCCTGTCCAGATCCCTTTGTAGTTCTGCCTGGTCTTCGATCGAATGAATTCTTCTCATCAACTTCACGTCATCTGCAAACAGGAACACCTCAGAGTTTATTCCTTCCGTCATGTCGTTCACAAATACCAGAAACAGCACTGGTCCTAGGACTGACCCCTGTGGGACCCCGCTGGTCACAGGTGCCCACTCTGACACCTCGCCACGTACCATGACTCGCTGCTGTCTTCCTGACAAGTATTCCCTGATCCATTGTAGTGCCTTCCCTGTTATCCCTGCTTGGTCCTCCAGTTTTTGCACCAATCTCTTGTGTGGAACTGTGTCAAACGCCTTCTTGCAGTCCAAGAAAATGCGATCCACCCACCCCTCTCTCTCTTTCTTACTGCTGTCACCATGTCATAGAACTCCAGTAAGTTTGTTACACAAGATTTCCCGTCCCTGAAACCATGTTGGCTGCTGTTGATGAGATCGTTCCTTTCTAGGTGTTCCATCACTCTTCTCCTGATAATCTTCTCCATGATTTTGCATACTATACATGTCAGTGACACTGGTCTGTAGTTTAATGCTTCATGTCTGTCTCCATTTTTAAAGATTGGGACTACATTTGCTGTCTTCCATGCCTCAGGCAATCTCCATGTTTCGATAGATGTATTGAATTTTGTTGTTAGGGGAAACACATAGCGCCTCTGCTCCCTCCCCTCAATACCCATGGGGAGATGTTATCTTTCCCCATTGCCTTTGAGGTATCTAGCTCACTCAGAAGCCTCTTCACTTCTTCCTCGGTTTGTGCACTGTGTCCAGCACATGGTGGTGTGCCCCACCTCTCCGTCTTTCTGGAGCTCCTTCTGTCTCCTCTGTGAACACTTTTTTTGAATCTCTTGTGATTCTTCACATACTTCACGGTCATTTCTTGTTTGTCTCTCCTCCTTCCTTCCTTAGCCTGATTACCTGGTCCTTGACTGTTGTTTCCTTCTGATGTGGCTGTAAAAACAGTTTGGGGTCAGATTTGGCTTTCGCTGCTATGTCATTTTCATATTGTTTTTGGGCCTCCCTTCTTATCTGTGCATATTCGTTTCCTGGCTCTAAAAACTGTTCTCCTTATTCTCCTGCGTCCTTTGCCTTCTATATTTCTCCTTTTCCCTATCACACTTGGTTTTGCCTCCCTGCCCCTTTTGGGGTAAACCATGGGCTCATCCTGGCTTTTTCATTATTCCTGTTACCCTTGGGTACAACCTCTCCTCAGCCTCCTTGCTTTTTGTTGCTACATATTCCATCATCTCTTTAACTGCTTCCCTGCCATTCTCTGTCCCACTAAACCCCCCGTTCAGGTAGTTCCTCATTCCTGTGTAGTCCCCTTTCTTGTAGTTTGGCTTCATTCGCCGGGCCCCCTTCCTCTTCTCCCTTCCACTTGTAGCTCTACTGTGTATTCGAAGCTTAAAACCACATGGTCACTAGCCCAAGGGGTCTTTCATATGTGAAGTCCTCGATATCTGCACTACTCAAGGTGAATACTAAGTCCAGCCTTGCGGGTTCATCCTCTCCTCTCTCTCTTGTAGTGTCCCTTAAGTGTTGGTACATGAAGTTTTCCAGTACCACCTCCATCATCTTAGCCCTTCCATGTATCTTGGCCCCCATGTGGGTCCAAGTTCTCCCAATCGATCTCCTTGTGGTTAAAGTCACCCATGATCAGGAGCTTTGCCCTGCATGCATGAGCTCTTCTGGCCACTCTAGCCAGTGTGCCCAACCACCCGCTCTATTGCTCTCGTCGTACTCTTCCCTTTGGGGCCTCCTGCTGTTCTGTGGTGGGTTATACATCACTGCTAATTACCCCCTTTGGGGACCTCCAGAGGAAGCGTTCCCACATGTAATCACTTTTCTTCTCCGCTGTCTCCTCTCTCCAGCTCATCAAAATTCCAGCGATTTTTGATCAGCAACCCACTCCTCCACCCCCCCTGTTCCCTCTGTCTTTCCTCAGGATTTTATCCCGTTGGAAAGATGGCATCTGTTATCATACCTGTAAGCTTGGTTTCTGTGAGAGCCTATGATGTCCGGTGATGCTTCTTTGACTCTTCATGCCACTCCTCCCACTTATTTGTTATTCCATCAGCGTTTGTGTACCAACCTTCAGTTTCCTTTCCAAACTGTGGTTTGGGGGGCCTGTGAGGGTGGGAGACCTGGTGGCATACTGTGGGATTCTATAGCTCGGTTTTTGGGTGGAGGCTGTGGGTATGGATTGTAGTGTGTGTTGGGATGGTGTGATAGGTTGTATGGTTCTGAGAATAGTTGTGTGTGTGCTTGCCCTTGCTGTTCTTTTCTGCTCTGACTGACCTCTGCTCGTTCCATCCTTGTCTCTTTTCCTAGCTCCTTTCGCTTTTTTGTCCTTTTCCCCCAGCTGCTGTCGTTCTGATTTTGTTCTGTCTCTGTCTAGGAACACCCTCTTGTACTCTTCCGAGTATTTCAAATCGTGGTTTTCTCTTGGAGGATCCTGTTCCGCACTGTTTCCGTCCTGA